AAAAAAGCCTTCACAGTTCTGGAACAACATCCTATGGACAGATGAGATCAAGATCAACTTGTACCAGAGTGATGGGAAGAGAAGAGTATGGAGAAGGAAAGGAACTGCTCATGATCCTAAGCATACCACGTCATCAGTGAAGCCTGGTGGTGGTAGTGTCATGGCGTGGGCATGTATGGCTGCCAATGGGAATGGGTCTCTTGTATTTATTGATGATGTGACTGCTGACAAAAGCAGCAGGATGAATTCTGAAGTGTTTCGGGCAATATTATCTGCTCATATTCAGCCAAATGCTTCAGAACTCATTGGACGGCGCTTCACAGTGCAGATGGACAATGACCCAAAGCATACTGCAAAAGCAACCAAAGAGTTTTTTAAGGGAAAGAAGTGGAATGTTATGCAATGGCCAAGTCAATCACCTGACCTGAATCCGATTGAGCATTAATCACACTTGCTGAAGACAAAACTGAAGGGAAAATGCCCCAAGAACAAGCAGGAACTGAAGACAGTTGCAGTAGAGGCCTGGCAGAGCATCACCAGGGATGAAACCCAGTATCTGGTGATGTCTATGCATTCCAGACTTCAGGCTGTAATTGACTGCAACCAAGTATTAAAAAGTGAAAGTTTGATTTATGATTATTATTCTGTCCCATTACTTTTGGTCCCTTAACAAGTGGGAGGCACATATGCAAACTGTTGTAATTCCTACACCGTTCACCTGATTTGGATGTAAATACCCTCAAATTAAAGCTGACAGTCTGCAGTTAAAGCACATCTTGTTTGTTTCATTTCAAATCCATTGTGGTGGTGTATAGAGCCAAAAATGTTAGAATTGTGTCGATGTCCCAATATTTATGGACCTGACTGTATGACCTGGCCAAGTATGTCCCCACACTTGAATCCAGTAGAACTCCTCTATAGTATTTTAAAGCTGAAGGTAGGCAACAAAAGGCCTCCAGCAAAGAGCAGCTGTGAGGAATCATGTGTAGAATAACAGAACACCTCCCTGCAGATTTATAGAAGGCTCATCCATGTCTATGAAGATTGAATCCATCCTCAAAAATAAATAAATAAAATAAGGCAATGTCACTAATAAATGGTGCATTGACTTTTGTTACAGTTGCATCTTAATCTGTTCCTAATAGTTTAAAAAGTCAGCTATTTCTGTTTTTAAATCAATTTGCTTTATACTTTGGGGGCTTTGGCTAAACACAAATCAAATTAAATTGTATTACATGGACAAGATTTTGTAATGACAGTTTATTAGTATTGACCAGTGTATACTGTATCTCATGTCAATGAGTGTCCAGCCCCTAGGCTGGGAACTGTTGGACTACACTAGCTACACCTACCTGCTTCAACAGTAATACACCGATCAGCCATAAGATTATGACCAGTGGCAGGTGAAGTGAATAACACTGACTACCTGTTACAGTGGCACCTGTCAGTGTGTGGGGTATATTAGGCAGCAAGTGAACATTCAGTCCTCAAAGTTGATGTGTTGGAAGCAGGAAAATGGACAAGTGTAAGGATCTGAGTGACTTTGACAAGGGCCAAACTGTAAGGGTGAGATGACTGGGTCAGAGCACAAAGTACAGGTTTATGAGAATATTTCCGAATTTTGAATGCAGGTCTTTTACTCTTAATGAAGTATTTTTAGAATATTGTATTGGTGGTACTTGTTAACCACCGCAGTACAGGCATTTTGAGTTGTCTGATGATGTGAATGCCCCTGTCAGCCATATGATAAGTGAACACTATATTTCAAGAGAGGAGCAAGAATTCAGTGCAGCTGGAGCTGGAGCCTACAGTACATCTAGTAGGCATTAGAGGAACTGCATTAACTTCACTGTTCAATCTTAAACTGTTATTTTGTTCTGGCCTGAACACTTTATCAGACAGCCATCCTCCTCTTTCTCCTCATCTTCCTCCTCATGTTTCATCTCCCCATCCTCCCCTTCTTGTTTTCTGTCTCTGCTGCCTGAGACCTTTGGAGATGCCTGGAGGGACACAGTGGAGATAGTGTTACATGGTGAGCCTAGAACTAGAGAATAAACTGCACACACACACACACACACACACACACCTACACACAAGTCTTAAATGGATCATAGCTTTCAGAGCAGAACAAAAGGGCCCAGTCGGAACAGAAGCAGAGGCCAGGGGTGGTCTGGAACTCTCACACTTACACTGTATATTGCATATAGCTCTGCAGGGACACACTAATCACTCTCTTGACTCTCACATGCACACACACATGTGAAAGTTACAGGCATATACACACTCGTATAAAAAAAAAGACCAGGTTGATTGGATTTAGTTTCCTACTGTGGGGTGGAGCAGAAGAACACACACAATTGTTTTAGTGCTTGAGGTTTTTTTCATACACAGGTGAGCACAGCCACACACACACACCCTCAAGCTGTCCACCTGCCTTTCTTCAGAGCCACTGAAGTAAATGGGGTGTTGAAGTCAGTCTTATGCAATTATTTCTGCTTCTCTGCAATGCACCCACTCTGGAGAAAGAGAGAGATAGAGAGAGAGAGAGAGAGTATGTGTGTGTGTGTGTGTGTGTGTGTGTGTGTGAGTGTGTGAGAGAGATAAAGGGTATGTCCTCGCATCGTGGCAGCACCCACGCCTCTTTGGTGAAAAATGAAGGCTTTCTGAAACATGGAGAGGGTGAACTATCCCATGTGCATATTCAGTAACATGGCAACTGTTAGTTAGAGAGAACTGCACTGCGTGAATATGTATGAGTCTGAACCAGATTCTGTCTGACTCAACACATGTATGGATCAGAAAATTGCCTTGGAGTAACTGTGGAATGCTGCTTATCCAGTTTCCAGATGACCACTAGCACAGATAAGACTTCCTCAGGCAACTTCAAGGTCAGAACTGCGATTTCACTCTGTGTATGCATTTGTATGTGTGTGTGTACTTCTATCAGACACTTAAAATGTTTTGGTGTAAGAGAGGCAGAGCCACTCATCTTTCTGAAGTATTTAGGAGATATTAGCAATCGACCTTGTTGCTCAAGTATCTCCTCTCATTGAGCAAAGCCTCGGAGACAGATATGGCTGTTCATTTAGTTTCATTATCTGTGTGTGTGTGCATGTGTGTGTGCATTTGATGAAGAAACTACATGGCATTCAAAAGCCAGTTTACCACTGTTTTCAAATCGGTGTGGCTAGGGGTGGTTGATGTGATAATATATAATCAAACACAGAGGCAACTCAGAGTGCTTTATACTGTGCAGGCAAAGATATGCATTAATAACATTAAAAACAATCAGCATTAAAAGCCAGAATAAAATCAATTAAGACAAAATGAGATAAAAATTGTTAAAACAAAACAAACAATTAAATGCATCCAGAAACAGAAACACAGGTAGAGAACAGTTACAGTGCAGTAATAAGTCATAAGTTGTGCTGAATGCAACAGATAAACAAGTGCAGCATAGAAACCAGTCAGTCGAAGGAAAACAGCAGAGTTTTCAGTTGAGACTTGAAAGTGGCAGAGTTGGAACACATTTAAGGTCATTAGGAAGTTAGTTCTTTAATAACACTAAACCTATAATCCAACAGTGACAGTTCTTCTTGGTGTTAAAAATATGCAACTCATGTTTTGCGACTCTTTCCGTCATCATTTGTGTATTCTTACCTACTGTATATACACCAAGTGTGTGGCAAACAACATACAGACCACAAATAAAAAGCAAAGATAAGATGGAACCTTAAAATATACCATCAGGAAAGTTTAAAAAAGAATATAAAACTGCCAGTATAATTAAGCAACATAGCACTGATTTAAATATAAAAAATCAAACATGGCTGCTACAGTAGACTCTGCAGGTCAGGATATGGGCCTCTGTTTCTTTGATTTTGTCTTTTATTAATAATCTGTTTCTTAGGTGTCTCCCATATTTGTGACAGAGCAGTATTTATTGGAGTAATATTTTAAATCCTACTTTTGTCAGTTTCTCATGACATTTGATTAAAGATGTAGTTTTTTTTAATTTAATTTCAGCTGCTTATATGTAGGCAAATGCAAAACAAATCCCACACATAGCTCATCACTTCTAACTTTGTCGACGTTTCAGTCCACAGACCTTCATCAGGAAAACTGCATAAAACAGAGCCACCCAACTTCCTGTCTACATAGACTAAGGAAGGCCAGGTAACATTCCTGGTATATGCACACAATCAGGGTGAATAAGCTCATTTTCACAGTGTGCAGTCTAGAGATCCCACCAGACTCATCACATGATAAAATCTTCGAATGTCACAAAATAAATATTGCTCAGGTTGATTCAATGATAAGGCCAAAAACTGATTGGACCAAAATGTCTACAATAAAGTGAATACAACTGATGAGCAGTGTGCAGGATTTTTTTTGTTTTTGCCTCCAGTATTGCTTACTTGATCCTATACACCTGCAAAAAAGAGGACATGGTATGCAAAAACGTTGTTTGAAGCTGCTTATATGTCGAAAGCAATTCACATTTTACAATCTAGATACTGAAAAAACTTGGTTTGTAGTGTAGTATGGAAAACTTCAGTATGGAAAACTTCAGTAACATTTTTGTTGGGGTTTCTCACACTGAACTAGGACTCAAAAATGTAGACCAGGACAAAGAAAGAGAGCTTAGAAGCATCTTTAATCAAGGTAGGAGTACAAGGTTCCAAAATGACAGTGGGGAACAAGGCTTTGTCAGGAGCAGCCCAGGTCACAGCGAGGGCCACTCAGGTGAGTCAGGCAGGCAGGAGAGGGGTCTGTACCGCTGGGAACTCAGCAGTGCACAAGTGAGGGGAGCCGATAAGGTGAGGATGGTCTAGGGAGCTGGGTAGACAGTTCAGACAGGCGGGTAGGAAACCTCAGCGGCAGATGCTGATACAGGAGATATCACAGATAAGGTGACAGATTCAGGAACAGGGAACACAGGTAAGTGGTAGATACAGAGCTGAGGGAGACTCACACAGTGTACTGGTTTTGTCAGGAGCAAACACATGAACAGAATAACATTAATGGACCAGCAAGAGACTGAGGGAATGGAGGAGGTATATGGGCAGGTGACAACAATGAATGGTGAGTTCGTACTGGAGAAAAGCTTGGGCAGGTGAGATGACGCAGGGCAAGAAGTAATCAAAATAAAAGCTTTCAGAAAAGGAATACAGCTGAACAATAACTGTTTTATTTTACAGATCTGTAATCAGCTAAGCAATGTAGTTTGGTACTGTGTTGGCATATGCGGAGAATAACTTTTCGAATAATAATAAAGAAAAAAATGTATGTTTATATTTAAATATGCTTTTTTTTAATTTTTACACTGAAAATTTACAGTAGTTCTTTTCCTCAGAATTTTCTAGGGAATTATTAAAAATGATCTGTAAAATAAAGCATTAGAAAGATTCTAATTATCCCTATTCCTCATTGTGTGTAAGAATTAATTTACTGTATATTTACAGTATAGTATGTTAGAGCTGAGCAGGTAACCAGAGAAGACATACCACCAGTGCCCCCCATCCCCCCATCCTGAGCTGCAGGGAAGGTAAGTGATTTAGCAGACCTGCACTCTGTCTTTGCATCTCCTCCTCTCCCAGAGGATTTGTTCTATAATCCTGCATTGCCCAATCCCACTCTGCTCTCTCTTTCAGAGTGCTACACTGGGTAAATGGGGGGGGTTCTCATGTTCCACCGCAGCTGGATGGGGGGAGGAGTGATAGTGTGTGAAACAGTGCTTGTTTCTCTGCTGCCATTTTGTCCTTGTGGCAGCTCTATTTGATTAACACTGGTCGTGTATGTGTGTGTGTTTCCCACATAATGCAGTTGTGTGGTTTGTAACTGCAGGGCTGACATACACACACAGAACCCCCCCCCCC